CCCGCGCTCGCTTCGGGCGCCGCCCATTGGCTGCCGCGCCACGGGACCGCGTCCGCCTCGGCCAATCAGCGCCGAGCAGCGCCTTTTGGAAACTTTTTTTTCCCAGGGCCCGGGCGCGGCGCGGCCACGCGGCGGCTCTGGGCGGGCGGAGGCTTGGGAGGTTCCCGCTGCTGGGCAGGGTTCTGGCCGGCCTTGGAGGATGCTGGCTGCTCCCTGGACACCGGGGGAACAGGCTTGGACTTAAGGGCCACGCACTTCAGGAAAATATGATGCCCACCCCTTTGACACCGATTGCTTTTTCCTGTTCTTGCATTTTCCCCAAAGCAGATAGAGGGACAAAGTAGGTCCGTTTAGGCTAAGCAAGCAATGTCCCATGTTCTTCTGACTCCTTTACACCGAATATAAAATTTTCGACATCGTTATCTTCTTCAAAGGCAGCAAAACTTAGTGTTTAAGAGTTTCATTTGGAGCCTGGCTTTGTATCCTAGCTCTGCCCCTCAGTAGCTGTGTGATCTTGGGCACGTTACTCAAACTCTATGACTTAACTTTCCTCATCTGTAAAAGGGTTCATGATAGGATTCTACCTCACAGGGTTATGCAGAGACGAAATGAGTTAACTTGGCATTTGTAAAACGCTTAGGACACTGCCTAAGCACTGCTAATTAAGTACAATCTATGGGGTGATCATGATTTTTTTTTTATTGTTTATCTGTATCAGGCACAATACTCTCTTCTTGATGTGGGTGCACAATACTCTCTTCTTGATGTGGGTTTTCTCCTTTAATTCTCACAGCAATCCTAATTGTTCCACAAATATTTACTGAGCATTCACTCACACTTACAGCACAACAAACGTCAGACAAGACGCCTGTCCTCAAAGGGCTTACACTGTTGATAAAGACACTAAACCAGCAAACAGAAAAAATGAAGTAATTTCAGATCCTAATAAGTGCTATGAACAAAGCAAGGTCATATGATAGAAAAGGGCCGGGGAGGGGTCACTTCAGATAGAATGACAGGGAAGGCCACTCTACAAGGTGACAGTGGAGCTCAGCCCCAGATGATGAGAACCACAGAAAGCACATTTATTGTCCTCATATTTAAAGATGAGAAAAACAAAAGTGCAGGAAGTTAAATGCATTGCCCAAGTTCTTGCAATTACTATACAACAAATCAGGCTTCAAAGCGCCATCTGTTTAACTCCTATACCAGTGTTCTTCAGCATGATGCTAGAGGCAAAGAGATCATAGTTACTTTGAGGCCTCCAACCATACTCACAGAATCCCTCCTGCATCCCAGCCATGGTTAATAATGACCTTTCTCTAATTCTACTTTGTTTTGAATCCTTGCTAGTTCCTGAAAGAAGCTGAGAGACACAAGAGGTAAGTACCACCTACAACAACAGGGTTAAGGAAATCAAAATGTGTTCTAGGAAACCTCCACCTAGTCCCACATGCTAATAAATCATTTACACCCTCTTGACACTTTTGCTCTTGTGCTTTCTAGAGATTTGTTTTGACCCTACCCATTCTCTGAGGTTTCTGGGCAGGGAACACTCACTCAAGTCAGACAAACTGAAACACAAATTGTTGAGGTATCAGTACTGACTAAATGGCATTGGTCAGGTCATTTACACTAGTTGGTTTTCAATTTTCTTCATTTTCCGTTTAAAAAAAAAGGGAAGAAGACATTGAAATGATTATCATTAAAGTTTTCTTCAAGAATAGGAGTTTAGGTAAATGGGTTTGTCGTAAGGGTTTAAACCTTAAAAATGAAAGGGAAATTTTGGTGTACTTTAAAACTTTTTCCTTGCTATATTCAATTTGTTTTCTTTGTAGCTTTTAGATATAAAAGAGCAGGAAGCTGGGTTTCTCTTGCTTAAATCCTTCCATCGTAATTTCTCATTTCAAAACACTAAACATGACATAAGCAGAAGTTGCTGGGGCAGAAACTCTTGGCAGCTAGGTTAATTTAGGAGCTGAACTGAATGTAAAGTAGCCACTTAAATTATGCAAAAATAAATCTTCATCCGGATTTCATAAACATGAATGCTATAATTTGGATAAGGAAAAAACTGAAAGTTACTCTTACTTTCTGATGAAAGAGTTTGCAGAGCAAAGAAATAGAAATAAGATTAACAGAGGCTATACCTAAGAAAATACGTCTTAAGAAAAATGTTAAAACACTTTTCACAAGTACCAAATTGTATTTTGATGCGTAATTGCTTGCAGAACAAAGAAATAGAAATAAGATTAACAGAGGCTATAAATAAGAAAATATATCTTAAGAAAAATGTTAAAACACTTTTCACAAGTATCAAATTGTATTTTGATGCGTAATTGCTTGCAGGGCAAAGAAATAGAAATAAGATTAACAGAGGCTATACCTAAGAAAATACGTCTTAAGAAAAATGTTAAAACACTTTTCACAAGTATCAAGTTGTATTTTGATGCGTAATTGTTTGCTTCCAAAGGCTGGTGTGTTCTGCTTAGGTTAGTTCTCGATAGAAAATAATTTTTTTTAAATGCGTACTTTAAAAACTATTTGTAATTCAGACTTTTCATTAATCTTCCAATTGGTATGATTGACTTGTTTTTATTTGCTGCATTTTACCTACTGACACCAGCTAAAGCTCTGGACTTGAAAGAATGTCAGGCAATGTCAGAATATGTCTGCTCTCTATTTCTAAAACCTTTTTAAAAAGCAATAAAACGTCCATAATTATTTTGTTTCCTCTTTATACTTGGAATTCATACTGTCTGTGTTTAGAGACATTCAACTAGAATTAAAAGAAGGGAGACAAACGTCTTTAAAGAGAAGCATATTTTTTGGTACTCTGGAAAAAGCTGAATGCTAGAAACAGGGTTGCTTTTCATCTGTTCTAATTCCCACTTGGAGAATACTACCCACACACAGAAACAATGAAGATTTAATTTACTCAGCAGTAATAAATACCTAAGCAGGCACATGATGTGTGTACTTGTCATCTCCCTTCTGGAAAATAGAATACAAGCACAAAGGATTCTTCAGGTACATGCCTGATCTTGCCCTCCACCATACATGTCTACAAGTATGTCTACAAGGATGTATTAGCTTCCCCTGAAATCTCCCCCACTTAATGTGGATTGCCTAATGAAGTTGCTTCACATTACAGATTTTGGGGGAAAAAAGTTCTCTTTTGGTAATTTTTACTTACTTATCAGTCTGCAGTTAACCTGTTTCTTGGCAAACTTCAAAAATAAACTTTTACCTAACATTCAGCTACGGCAAAATAACTACGTCTAGATTTAAATATGTGCTTTGTTTTTCTCCGAATTTGCACCAGGAAATAGTGAGCAGCTGGCAGTTTCAGAAATGTTCGTTGTGCGTACTGAAAACTTTTTTTAATTTCTAGTAAAAGTAAAGGTTGTTAAGGAAAAAACAAACAAAAACAAACAAAAAAACACCCAAAATCAAAACAATCCCCAAACAAAAAACCCAAACATGGCATATCTAGCCATCAAAAGCACAAGCTGTTACTGGCTCCATAAGGCTTTTGCAGCTATTAAGTCTCCTTTTTGCTCGCGCAACCAGTCACTGGAAAAGTTGTATTCATTTGTAACAAGCTTTAGACCAGGACTTTCAAAAATTCGTTTTCTTACTGAAGTCATGAGGACCTCTTAATCCTTGGTGACAAAACCCAGCCTAGTCTTGGTACACGCTTTATTTTTGCCAGCTGGATCGCCACTTCGCGAGAAGCCCTAAGGGCCAGAAGTACCTCGTGGGCAGCCCAGTTGGCAATTATTTTTTTCTCCACTCGCCACTAGGTTGCACTAGATAAAGGATGCTGTGGCAAATATGCGTCATTTAATTTTTTTTTAATAAAGTAGAATCATCACGTGACAAGAGCGACTGCGAGAGGAAAAAAGCGAAAACGATCGGGTTTTTCATCGAAATCCCTTTTAAATCGCCTTCCTTCAAAAGACTGAAAGAGCTGAATGGAATCAAATCCCGGTTCGCAGGTTTTTTCCCCAGGTTCTACACCACAAGCTCCCTAATTCTCCGCTTTCAGGTTCCTTTCCACTCCACAAGTATAAGTCAGGGGCAAAGCCTCCTTAAACTGGGGGTTTTCGCCAAAAAAGCCGGGGTCGCCCCCCGGGAAGGTCCCTATTTAGGGGTTTATCGGGAGGGGACTGAGCCTGACGAGGCTGCAGGGCCGCGAGGCCCCGCCCCCCCCAGGGTTCCCAGCACGCCCCGCGCGGGGAGGACGAGGCGGCGGGGGAAGGGCGGAGGAAGGGGCGGAGCCAGGGGAGAGAAGGGCGTCGGTTTTGCGACAGGGGCGGGGTGGTGCGGAAGCGGAAGTGAAGGGTGCGCTTGGCGGCGGCGGCGGGAGCTGCGGAGTCGGGAATCAAAACAAAGGGCCTGGGGGGGCGGGGGGAAGGCGGCGGGGCCGGAATGTGAGCGGAGGTGGAGCTGGTGGTTGAGGTGAGTTTGCTGGCAGCGCTGGGGACTAGTCCCCGACGCGCCCACTGCTCTGGGGACAACAGTTGGAGGGGGGGAGAGTGTCCCCTCCTGTTTATTGCCGGCGGCGGTGGGGGGGCGGTTGGCTAGTCAGAGGGGTACGACTGGGGCTCACTG